CTCCCAAGGAGCAGGGAGCCCGATGCGGGACTCGATCCCAGGACCCTGGGATCATGACCTGAGCCGAAGGCAGACGCTTAACCATCTGAGCCACCCACGCACCCTCCAATGCCCTTTCTTAATCAACTACCTCAACCTACCAACACCGAAATAATAAAACAATTTTTGTCCAGCTGCAAATGACCTACATAAAGAAAAATATGTACATTCGTTTGTATGACTATTACAGTAATGTATTTATAGCATACTTAATTCCCAAAAAAGGGAATGAGAAATATAAACTAGATAAAGGCATGCAAAAAGCAACTAAATAATTGCATTTATTCCATTGGCTTTACCCAAACAAGACAGAACTTCCATTTTATCTGTATTGCAACATCCCAACTAAACCAATTCTTTTGCCAAACTTGACAGTTTGTTATTTAAGTGCATAAAATGATCAAGGAAAAGGTTTCTTGAGAAATGCTCCGTTATGACTGTATCAAACATCTTTTCCAAAATGTGTGTGCCTTTCAAGAGTACCAAATAATTTTAGTTTAACATGATCATTGAATGTCTAATGTTCTCAGAAAAAAAATACCAACGTTGGAAGAAGTAATTAAAACCAGATCCTAAGTCAGTACATCTGAGACTCCAGACACTTAATCTGCATGTGCTGTGGTTTCCAGTAAAACACTAAAATGAGGTAATTTTTTATTCTTATTATGGTCATGACTCTTGCAAAACCTAACCAGGGTAAAAATGTTTATCTCAGTTTTTTCTTAAATCATCATGCTGAATATAAGTTTCAATGTCTTGTGCTAAAAACAGAATCTCCTATATTTACCTTTGAGAAATAACAAGAAAGTGAATTCCTGATAAATTATAGATAATCTAAATATCTCAGTGCAGTCACCTTATTTGACTCCCTTCTCTTTTGTAAGTCAAAGTAAGAAATTGTGGAAATGGTTTATGTGTCATTATCTCCTCTCACCTTCCTTGTCTCATCTCTTTTTGGACTTAATAATTGGGCTGGAGGAGGCACAGAGGAGAAAGATTATCATATGCCCAGAAGTGTGAACCTGGGAATCTTAGAAAGGTAAAACTGGTTAACAGCCACAACATACACACACACACACACACACACACACACCACAAAAGCAGGGAGGAGAAAATGAGATGCTGAGAAAGAAAAATTTTTTCATGAACTTGAATAGAATAGCTGATCTTGTGTAACTAATAATTAAATAATATTATAATTCCCATGCTCCTGTATTCCCTCTTTTTATTTTCTCTTTTAAATCACTGAAAAAAAATATCAGTTTTTAAAAGATTACATTTTTTTCACTCATCTGTATGAATGTGTAATTAGCATATGGAAAAATGCTTTTATCTAAAATCTAAGAGCGCCTGGAACCCACGGAGTCAAAGAGAAATGACAGAAACCACTCCTAATACTTAACCTCATATTTTGATCAGTACTTGCTCATCCCAAGAAACGTTTTAAAAATTAGTTAGTAAGTGGTGTATATTAAGAGGCCATGTCATCACTGTGGTAGGTTTCAGTCCTTCTTAATGATTTGTGGTTAGTGGTCAAATGTAATTGATCACCATATAAGAAATATAACCCAATATTAGAATTATTAACATTTAACTGTTTATTTTAATAACTTTTGTTCTATCACCTTGTCAAAGACCTTTTGAAAGCCTGACTAGATCATATTCATGGATAAAGTTTTATGTAAATGTATGTTTAACTTTTAAATGAACTGCAGTAGGATAAATAATTGTTTAACCTTAGAAGAACATTTTAGCTTTTCTCCTAGTAGATTTCAGGCATCTAAATGTTTTATAACCCCTTTTGGTATTGTAGAGTTAAAATCTTGTCCTATATGGAAGTTGTTAGTCCTCTCTGGAATTTTTGCTTTGAAGGATACTATTTCTTCTTTTTAACTCTTTATACAGTTGAATACACTACTAGACAGATTCCTTGGGAACTTGTTAGAACCTTAGTACCCAGAGTCTATAGGTGGGAGAAAATGACATTGCTTTACACCAGTGCCTCTTAAAGGAGATTTCTTAATGGTGTTATATTTTTTTTCCTTACATACCACTAATTGCCCAGATATAATGAAGTACAGCAAAAATAATTTGAAAACAATTTTTTTCCACTAAGCCATGTTGTCAATCAACCATTTAGAATAGCAATTCTCCATTTCCACTCTTTATTTCCATAAACTGTAGTTAGATTGGCTTATTGAGAAAGGTACAGGACTTTGGACAGTCATTAAACTCTCTCGGCCTTAATTTTCTCCCCTGTAATATTAGGGAGTTGGTTTAGATGGTTCTAGGATTCCATCAGCTGCAAAACCCTAGAATTCTGTGCTAAAGTCTAGAGCACCATTTGACCCAGCATCCTCTATAGCCCACCATTTATATAATATTTTAACACTCTCCTATGAGTCATGTTTGAACTTCCTGTAATGTCCATTTCAAATGCACAGAAGAGAGCTTCAAGTTTGTGGTGCTCTGTAGAATTCTCAGCTATCAACTTGCGTTATCTTTCCACTTGTGGAATAAATTCTTTTATCTCAGTAAGAGTTTCTGTAAAAAGATTTTTTTTTTTCCTAGGTTAGCCCTGAGTTTTTATAAGTGGTTGGGGTTTTTAACTCTCAGGACACATTAAATGGAGCTTCCAGTGTATTTAACAGTTTGCACATTCCTAGGTTACTGGTTCTCCTTAAAAATGTTACTTTCTATGATTTACTAATAGGTTAGCAGATGTTGTCCTGGTTCAGTACATGTATGGACCTATGATTGTGGTTTTTCTTCTTTTAACAGCACATTCAGATGCTTAATGTTATAATAAACATTACATTGAGGCTTGCTCACAATAGCTATTTTATGGCTTCTAGCACTTCCCTCAAGACTTGATCTAGGAAATTTACCTTTCTCCTGAGCTCTTAAAGTACCAGTTGAGCACATAATCATTTATCCTATCCAATTACTTAGCTCATGCTTTCTGTTATGGTAAAATATACTACCCACTGTGTTTGAGTATCTGAAGTTCGTAACTGTTAAGTACCTGGTATAATTTTTCAAACTCTCCCAATTTTCATGGTTAGATTATATAACATTTTTATCTACAGAATATTTTCTTTATATGAGAAGACTTTTACCACATTGCATTTCATTATTCTCCAAGTAAAATGTCTACCTACCTTATTTATGCCATGAGTCTAACATTGGGAAGGGAGAGTAGATAGGAAAAATGAGAAAACAAATTCTCTTAGCCACCTTAAGCTATGGAGGCCTGTCTTAAGTCCAGGAATTTATTTTGTCTTAACCAAAATCACATACGAGTTATTACATTTCCAATCCACTTATTTTTTTCTACTGTGACCTACAAAGTTTATTCAGTTTGTGCTTAATTTTTAATCATAATTCTTTAGTAGAAGACCTTAATTATCTTACCTGAATTCCGACATCGGTGATTTTATAACACTCAGATAGAGAAAGTTCCTTTAATTTTTTATGTCTGGAAAGTATCATCAAACCCTAAAAATATGTAATATAAAGATCACTTTGTGATTATAATTTAGTACAGACAATATATTTCTAATAAAATAACAACCATTTATGTAAACTAAAAAAATAGCTTCTATCTTATATTTCTTTACACTTAAATTATAAAATCACTTTGGTTAGGCAACATTATTAAATAAAATTTCAGGTTTTCTCTAATGTTTTGTAAAAAGTATGACAGAATCCTCCTGAGGCAAGGGAAAGGAGAGCAAAAATAAACTATCAGGAATACATCAAAATAAACAGCTTCTTCACAGCAAAGAAAACAATCAACAAAACTAAAAGGTAACCTACTGAATGGGAGAAGATATTTGTAAATGACTTAGCCAATAAAGGGTTAATATCCAAAATATATAAAGAACTTATACAACTCAACACCAAAAGATGAATAATCCAATTTAAAAATGGGCAGAAGACATGAACAATATTTCTCCAAAGAAGACATCCAGATGGCCGACAGACACATGGAAAGATGCTCATCATCACTCATCATCAGGGAAATGCAAATCAACACTACAATGAGATATCACCTCACACCTGTCAAAATGGCTACAATCAAAAACATAAGAAACAACAAGTGTTGGTGAGGATGTGGAGAAAAGGAATCCTCTTGCCCTGTTGATGGGAATACAAACTGGTGCAGTCACTGTGGAAAACAGCATGGAGGTTCCTCAAAAAGTTAAAAATAGGACTACCCTATGATCCAGCAATTGCAGTACTGGGTATTTACCCAAAGAATACAGAAACACTAATTAGGGATACATGCATTCGTATATATATAGTGGCATTATTTACAATAGCCAAATAATGGAAGCAGCCTGTCCATTGATAGATGGACAGATAAAGAAGATATATATAGATATAGATATATAGATATATATACACATATATAAATAAATATTATTATATATAATATATATATAATAAAAAAGAATGGAATCTTGCTATTTGCAACACCATGAATGGATCTAGAGAGTATAATGCTAAGCAAAATAAGTCAGTCAGAGAAAGACAAATACTATATGATATCACTCATATGTAGAATTTAAGAAACAAACAAGCAGGGGTGCCTGAGTGGCTCAGTCAGTTAAGCAGCTGCCTTTGGCTGGGGTCATGATCCTGGGGTCCTGGGATGGAGCCCCATGTTGGGCTCCCTGCTCAGCGGGGAGTCTGCTTCTCTCCCTTCCTCAGCCTCTCCTCCCCGCTTGTATTCTCCCTCTCTCTCTCTCAAATAAATAAATAAAATCTTAAATAAAAAAAGAAAGAAAGAAAGAAACAAGCAAAGGAAAAAAAAGAGAGAGAAACCAAGAAACAGACTTTAACTATAGAAAACACACTGATTACCAGAGGGTAGGTGGGGGGATGGGTAAAATAGGTGATGGGATTTAGAAGTGCACTTGTGATGAGCACTGGGTGATGTATGGAATTGTTGAATCACTATTCTGTACACCTGAAACTAATATAACACTGTATGTTAACTATACTGGAATTCAAATTTTTAAAAATAGAAATACAAAAAAAGAAGAAAAAAAGAGGGCATTGGCTACTTTTTCATTTCTCCTCCTCCTACCCTAGTATTTAGCATAGGAAGAAGAAAAAAAAAAGTGTGACAGAATCCCAGAGCCAGAAAATTCCTTATCTTGTTTCCTGTGCCCAGGTACATATAATCTGAATCAATATAAACAAGTCTTAAAGACCTCTAAACTTAAAACTTTATTTTGAAGACGGTTCATGTGGCTAATTAATCTATTTGTTGTAAATTTTTATTTATGCCTAACCTAAAAATCTGAAATCTTTAGCTCATTTTATTATGTTTAAGTGCTTAGAAAGGGAACAAATCTTTCTATAATAGCCTACAGACATATAATCATTCATTAATAGCCCACTTTTTCTGTTTAAAAGCTTTGTTTCTTTTTATTTAAAAAAAATGCACTTTTTAGTTCTTAAATTTTTTAATATGTGGTTCTGCTGTTCCATTTCTCAGTACTTTCCCCACTAAACTGGGGGAACTGACTAATATGCCTTATAGATGTCATTCTCCTGTCTTTGCATTCAGGATCACTTTTATTACACTTCCTATGAGGTGGACAAGAGCAATTGTCTCTCTTCTATGGTCCCAGAGCTGCCAGGCAGGGAAAATATCAGAAACGGTACATTGGTTTGTCCTTTTAAAATTTTATTTGTAGGACTGGTTTACATTTATTGATCTTAAATACAGCATTTGGACAATTGAAAATGGATTATGAAAATATTATATCCTGTTTTTTTCACTGATGTATTTATTAGGCCTTTTCATTAAGAAAAAAAAAATCCAGGTCAAGGAAAGAAGTGCTTGACAATCTACTTAATTGAAGCCACTGTTTAAATTGCAATTTCTAATTTCATTTAACGGTTTTGTACACCATCCAAAAATAAAATCACTCCATTCATTTTAAAAATTTTATTGCAAATGTGGATTCTTTTGTTAGGAACACATTATGTTTTCTGCCTCCTTGTTTCAAAACAAAAAATTACTAAGCCCTATGGAGCCAGCTCATGTGGTCTAGGTTCCAGATGTGGATGCTATTTTATTCATGTAGAAGAATTGGAGTTTAGATATTCCCCCAACAGAAACCAAATTGTTTAAACAAAAAAAATAAGAGATGCAAGGCTTGTCTCATTGCCCTATACCTGATAATAGCTAAGTGTGTTTTATTAGCCTATGGGGAATTTGTCCTATGAAACTATCTCTGGAGTTTTCACCTCTTTTTTTTTTTTTTTTACTTTTATGTAGTCAAGTTAGAATTTTTAAAGATGAACTGGAAATGAGGTACACTTGCTAAGTATGACATTTGTCTATGTTCTACTTCATTCAAGATTACTAAAAGTTAATATTAAAATAGAATTTTATATTTCATCACTACATTGTTCATTAAAACATATGGCCCCAAAGTTAATTAACTAACATAATTAGACATTGGGTAAATGCAAATCAAAACCACCATGAGATATCACTGCCTAGCTACGATGATGGTTATACTTAAAAAAGACAGATAATAAAAAGTGTTGGTGAGGATATGAAGAAATTAAAATTCTCATTCATTGCTGATGGGAATGTAAAATCGTCCAGTCACCCTGGAAAATCCAGTCTGGCAGTTCTTCAGAAAATTAAACATAAAGTTACCATATGACCCAGCAATTCCACTCCTAGATATATACCCAAGAGAAATGAAAAAAATATATCAACACAAAAAAACTTGTACTCAAATGTTCCATAGCAGCATTATTCATAATAGAAAAAAATGAAACAAGCCAAATGTCCATCACTGTGAGATATTATTTAGCAATAATAAAGCATGATGCATACTGCTATATAGATAAACATTTAAAACATTATGCTGAGTAAAAGAAACCAAACCCAAAAGGCCACAAATTGTATGATTCACTTATTTGAAAAGTCCAGAATAGGCAAGTATATAGAACCAGAAATCAGATTAGTGGTTGCCTAGGCTGGGCTGAACAGTGGGTCAGGGCTAGGGAATGACTGCTTATGGGGAGGGAGCTTCATTGTGAAGTGATGAAAATGTTCTGGAATTTGATTGTGGTGATGATTGCATAACGCGATCATCAATATACTAAAAACCGCTAAATTGTACCCTTTGAATTGTTGAGTTTCATAGTGTGTAAATCATATCTCAATAAAGATGTTTGTAAAAAATGACTGATGTAATAATTGTATAGCTAAATGCAAATCAGAAATATTCCTATAGCATCCTTCAGTCCAAGATGAACACAGAAGTTTCTCAGACCTGGATGGCCAATGGATTAGCAAAACAGGGAGCAAGAGATGTCATCATGCTAATGTGCTGGACAAGTTATCACAGGGCCTTGCTGCTGTAAGTAGACACAATTCTAACTGAGCAGCAGCAAATCTAAGCCAGCTGGAGGAGGCAAGGCCTCCACGGAAGCCTGCATGGTGCTAGTATGGGATGCCAGCTTCTCAGGACAAGTGAAATACACCATTCCAGTCAACAGGATTCATTTTTCAATGGTTTTTTGCCTCAGAAGCTTTTCAGATTCATGACCTAAAGAATATCAAGGCCAGCTAGGTAAGATGTTCTACTTGGCACCGTGAGATTCATAAATGCCCCAAATTAGGTGTTCTCTGAAACATTCGTTAAGTGCTTGGGATCAAAGTCCTAGGGGTGCCAAACTTTTACTTCTAGGAGGGATGGAAAGAGGAGAGTGGGAAGATAAGACCAAAGTAAGGAGGGATGAGGAACCCACAAAAGGGAGTGACTGGGCCTCAGTGGGGCAAAGGGCAGGTGGATGCTTACTTTTTAGGGAAGTTGTAACCAAGAAAATGTCAATCCTCCTTAAGCTCCTTCAAAAGTTGGCCAAACTCGTGAATGTTTTGCTGGAAAGGTTTTGGTTTATTTTCCCAAAGTATAGGAAGGGAATAAGTTGTTACCAGGTGAAGCACAGAGGAAAGCAACTGGTGTGGTCAGCAGGATTGCAGGTTGTATGAGAATGCAAGGCCCCAGGAGCTCACGAGAATCCTAAAGAGCAGTTTACTCCTTCATGGGCCGTGGAACTGAGGGATCTGGATCTGAGGGGCTTAGAAATTCCTAGTAATTGGCTTATATTACAGCTCTAGTATCAGGTCCACTGAAGGGAGTGTCAAGACCTAAGACTCAAAAGAAAGTATGCACTAAGCCCCAAGAGCCTTGTACATTATTCTAAGGAATTTGAACTTCATTCTATGCAACAGTGTTAAACAAAGCTTTTCCCCCTTTAAGGAATATGAGTTGATACATAAGTGAGCATAATGCAAAAAAGAAGGAGCATGTGTTTTAAGAGAGGTATGGGGACCACAGAGCAGGGCCTGGCAGTCTAGAAAAGACTTCCATGGAAGAAGGGGAATTTGAATTAAGCCTCAAAGACTGAGTAAGATTTTGACAAGCAAAATAATAAGAATAGTGTTTCAGGCTGAG